CTTCACGAACTGTGGGCGGCTCCTTTTAAAAATGTTGCTCTCGCCTTAGCGCCGTGCACATTCGTTCTAAAACATTGCAAGAGCTTCACGGATGAGGGCGGCTCCTGTTCAAAATGTGGTTCTCGCCTTCGCGCCGCGTACATTCGTTTTAAAATCTTACAAAACCTTCACGGATTAAGGGTGGTACCTTTTCACAATGTGGCTCTCGCCACAGCGCCGCGCACATCCGTGCTTTTACCTAACAGCGAAGACTGATAGGTTTCTAGTAGTGTCAAAAGAGAGCATCACGACTCCCGAGGGGGGTCTGGGCGGGATCCGAACAGGGTGCCCCGGAAAACCGGGGACTCCTTGTTTAGCCAACAGTAACGCACATCGTGGTCTTCGAGTTCCCAGAACTCCATTCCTGGGCACGATTTTGAATGCCCGGAGCCAACTGTAGGCCACTTCGTGGCCTTCGAGTTCCCAAAACTCCATTCCTGGGCATGATTCTGAATGCCCGGAGCCAACTGTAGGCCACTTCGTGGTCTTCGAGTTCCCAAAACTCCATTCCTGGGCATGATTTTGAATGCCCGGAGCCAACTGTATAATAAAATAAAAAAGTATAAAACAGAAAAAAGTAGGCCACTTCGTGTTCTTCGAGTTCCCAGAACTCCATTCCTGGGCATGATTTTGAATGCCCTGAGCCAACTGTAGGCCACTTCGTGTTCTTCGAGTTCCCAGAACTCCATTCCCGAGCCACATTTTGAATGCTGAGGCAGGCTGATGCTGAGGCTGAGGCAGGCTGAGGATGAGGCAGGCTGAGGCTGAGGCCGAGGCTGAAGGCAGACTGAGGCTGAGGCTGAAGCAGGCTGAGGCTGAGGCTGAGGCAGGCTGAGGCTGAGGCTGAGGCAGGCTGATGCTGAGGCAGGCTGAGGCTGAGGCTGAGGCTGATGCAGCCTGAGGCTGAGGCAGGCTGAGGCTGAGGCCGAGGCTGAAGGCAGACTGAGGCTGAGGCTGAAGCAGGCTGAGGCTGAGGCTGAGGCTGAGGCAGGCTGAGGCTGAGGCTGAGGCAGGCTGAGGCTGAGGCTGAGGCAGGCTGAGGCTGAGGCTGAGGCTGAGGCTGAGGCAGGCTGATGCTGAGGCAGGCTGAGGCTGACGTCGAGGCTGCAGGCAGGCTGAGGCAGGCTGGGGCTGACGTCGAGGCTGCAGGCAGGCTGAGGCTGAGGCTGAAGCAGGTTGAGGCTGAGGCTGCGGCAGGCTGAGGCTGAGGCCGAGGCTGAGGCAGGCTGATGCTGAGGCAGGCTGAGGCTGAGGCTGAGGCTGATGCAGGCTGAGGCTGAGGCAGGCTGAGGCTGAGGCCGAGGCTGAAGGCAGACTGAGGCTGAGGCTGAAGCAGGCTGAGGCTGAGGCTGAGGCAGGCTGAGGCTGAGGCAGTCTGAGGCTGAGGCTGAGGCAGGCTGAGGCTGAGGCAGGCTGAGGCTGAGGCTGAGGCTGAGGCTCATGCAGGCTGAGGCTGCGGCAGGCGAAGGCTGAGGCCGAGGCCGAGGCTGAAGGCAGACTGAGGCTGAGGCTGAAGCAGGCTGAGGCTGAGGCTGAGGCAGGCTGAGGCTGAGGCTGAGGCTGATGCAGGCTGAGGCTGAGGCAGGCTGAGGCTGAGGCTGAGGCTGAGGCTGAGGCCGAGACTGAAGGCAGACTGAGGCCGAGGCTGAAGCAGGCTGAGGCTGAGGCTGAGGCAGGCTGATGCTGAGGCTGAGGCAGGCTGAGGCTGAGGCAGGCTGAGGCTGAAGCCGAGGCTGAAGGCAGACTGAGGCTGAGGCTGAAGCAGGCTGATGCTGAGGCTGAGGCAGGCTGCGGCTGAGGCTGAGGCAGGCTGATGCTGAGGCAGGCTGAGGCTGAGGCTGAGGCTGATGCAGGGTGAGGCTGAGGCAGGCTGAGGCTGAGGCCGAGGCTGAAGGCAGACTGATGCTGAGGCTGAAGCAGGCTGAGGCTGAGGCTGAGGCTGAGGCTGAGGCAGGCTGAGGCTGAGGCAGGCTGAGGCTGAGGCTGAGGCAGGCTGAGACTGAGGCTGTGACTGCGACTGCCGTTGCCACTGCGACTGTCATGACGAATGCGACTACGACTGCGAGAACAGCAGAATTCTACAACTGGATTATCATCTGATTCTTAAGGGGAATGCTTCCAAATATGCTCCTACACATCGCTGTTAGGTTGCTTTGTCGGGATATGGTTTAAAACAAAAAGAGTTCCGCGTGTTCCGTTGATCAGCGTACAGGGAATGGTGTTCTGGAAAGGTTCAGGATTATGAGGGCGCAACAGTTCCGTTGATTCGCGTTGTTGAAGTCCCAGGAATGGCGTTATGGCAAGATTCATGATCGGCAAGGCGCAACAATCGAGAACGGTGTTTTGGCAAGCATCAGGGTCTTCAAACGGTTGACTTCCAACGAGGCAGTTCCCTGAGTGTAAATGAAGCCTTGTATGGGGTCTATGAAGAGGGAGCTTGAAGGGAGGGCTGATTCAAACA